TCTAAACAATCAAAGTAGAGCTCACCTTCAAATAGTATTGATAAATATGGTTTCAATACTGGAAATCTTGGTGATAGCCTTAAAATATATTTTTATTTATAATTATAAAATTTAAAGCTTCAAAAATAGTGTAGATCAAGCGTATCTATGAAAACTTGAAAATCTTGAAAATTGACGATCCAAAAATGTATTACAAGATGCAATATTCCCAAAATTTGAAATCCATGTTTTTCTCATCTCCATGTATCTTGATGTCGAGATGATCAATTTGATGATATTTGAACATCAAAACAACCTCTTCTAGTGATATTTTTGATCTGCACTCTAATTTGATTGTTTAAAGCCTCGGCTCTATATAAACATTTTCTATATATATGTATATATAAAAACTATTTGGAGACACCTGATAGCACAATTCCGATGAAAAGCATTCGAGCTGAAAATATAAGGTAAGGGAAAAGGAAAAAAAAAACGAAGGTGGTGGGGGTCATTTGTTAGCCCTACTTTTGTGAGGACATAATAAAGTGTTTTGGCAGTGACAGGGTTGGGTGCCCTACACTTTTGCTTTGCATAATGGCACCCACCCTTTCCCAACCATCTCTCATCATTTTCTTGCTCCCAATTTACACCTAGCAATCCAACCTAATTTCGTCCCTACATCTATATTTATTTCATTAAGAAATAAATAGCCTCAACATCACTCATCACATGTATCAAACCTGTTCAAAGAAGAGAAGAAAAATTGCAAAAAGCAATAAAGAAGACACAGTTCAATTCATTTGGATCAAGCACCAAAATTTGAGACTCCAAATTTAGGTGTGCTCTTGCAAGATTAGTGGTAGAACGGCCTTCCTCACTTGGTTTTTATTTCGTTCACGTGAAATATTTTCTAGAAAATATTTTTATGTAAAAAGAATTCTCCCATGAAGTCAAATGTGGTAATATTTTTATATCAATTGGTTTTAGTGCATCTTCTCACACAAATTGGCAACTAATTGATGTAAAATTATTCCACACTTGATCACATTAGAAAATTTTTTCATGTGAAAATATTTTTTAGAAAACATTTTCACGCTTACCAAACATGCTTAAAGATGAACTACCTTACTTCCTTTTTGCAATATTAATATTGTAGTTTATAATCATCCGAACCTTATCCCAACTATTTAAAGTCTGCTAAACACATAATCTATATGGAAAAAGAAAGGAAATAAAACAAGTAAATACAAAAAAGAAAAATACAAGTAAAACTAAGATTTATTAAAGGGATAGAGGGTTTGTTAAAACTATGGATCATTTCTGCAGTTTTTAAAATAAAAATGGACAGCCAAGATTTTCCCAAGTATAGTTCAATCGATGGGTGAATGTATTATAATTGCCACCAAGGTCCAAAGTCTTGCGCATAAATAATTAAGCAGATGAAGTGAGGAGAAATTTAACGAAGAAGAAGATGATGATTTGTGAAGCTAATCTTTAACCTAATTATCAAATTAAAGGAAAATTTTCATGTATCTAACTTCCCCACAAGAAAAACTAGGAAGCAAAAACTGTAAGACGCGTATAACTCAAATTTAATTGAAAATAATCATTAATAAATACATTAAGTTCATACGAGAGAGAGAGAGAGCAGTCTACAAAAACTCGGGCGAGCCAACTCGGACTCCTCCTACCAGGTCCGAGTATCCTCGATTTGGGTGGTCTGACTCGAAGATCCTAAATTTTTTAAAAAATGTATAAAAAATCTAAAAATAGAAATTTATTTGTAATATATATTTTGAGAAATTATAGAATGTAATCAGTTATTTACTTTTTATACAAGGTGGTCACATTAGTCTTGACTATTGAATATGAAATTGGATGGCGGTAATTATTCTACTACCTAGCTAAAACTTCAAAATAACTTTTTTGGAACTTTGCGACACAAATATCACATCAAATTATTGTAAGAAATTGTGACTACCTTGTATCAAAAATAAATAGCCTCATTGTATATAGTCCCACATATTTTTACGTTTTCTTTTATTTAAGCAAATATTGGAAGGGTGCAGTCTGCATACGGATGCATACGTAGCTGTAGAGGTAAGGTGCCCCTTCAAATTTTATTCATGGTACATAATTTTGATGTAAAATATTTTTAGGATTATTTCAAAATCTATTTTTATATCTAATTCCAAAATTTTAAATTTAAAAAACAGTTAAAATCAAGTAGATCTATAAACATAGGAAAATATTGAAAATGGACGGTATAGATAATATGTTGTAAAATGTACTATTTATGAGACTTAAAATCTTTCTATTTTAATGGTCGTATATCTCGATGTCGAGATGATCAATCAAAAGGTTTTTCAACATTAAAACAAACTTTTTCGATGGATTTTTTTGATGCATCCGTAGCAGTAGATGTAAGGTTGCAACCTTATATAAACTTTTTCCGCATTGGAAAGTGCTTTGGCAATGAATGCTTAATTTTACATTTTTTCCTCTTTTTTTTCTCCTAAAATACCTCCGTCGCATAAGTTTCAAAATCTTTTTTTTTCTACTTTTTTTACCTTAGATATGTTTTGTTTGATTTTATTTCAAATATATTTTCTCTATTTTCTGTGTTGTTCTTTTACTTTTTAGCACTTTTTGTCTGGGCGGGCCCGAGTACCTCGGGTTCGGCTCGGCTATGGGCCGAGTCCCGACCCCGAGTCGTTCACTTATTCATACGTAGAGAGTAGAACCAAATTTCAGTAGCAAAGAATACATTTACAGAGATAAAAAGAAATCAAAGCAAAACCCAATTTTAATATCAAAAAATTCACTTACATTACATTCAACCTCAACTTCCACAAAAACAGAAAATAAAGATGCAAATAAAAATAAAAATAAATGTTAGACATGAAACAGAGAAGCTCCAGAAGAAGAAGGAGATGGCGAAGCAGAAGATAGCTCCAGAAGAAGAAGGAGATGGCGAGGAAGAAGAAGACATGTTAACTGTAAAATCCCACCACCATTTGTTAACAATCCCAAAATTAAATGGCCCCCCAAAAAAAGAAAAGAAAGAGAAAGATTCAGTTCATCTCATGACAGAGAGAGAACTCACGTGGTCACCAACATAGAGAGAAAGGAGACTGAACTATTTTCAGTGAAACAATGAAGGGGGAGAGAAAATATGAAGTCAATGGATAGAGAGAGAGAGAGAATTGACAACTGAACTCATCTCAGTGAGCCATGGCCATTGGCGCCGGGGGCACGTACCCAATGGACCTCTGGTGCGGCATTGCGAGCATCGCCGTATGATCGAGGAAATCATTCAACTGCACCACCGCCTGCAATATCTGCCTCAAATCCTCTGCCCTCCTAAACCCCACCGCCCCTTCTGGCCTAACTGCATACAAATAGAACGTAACACACCCTTTCCTGAACTTAAACCGAGCCATTTCGCACCCATTTAGCCCTCTTACGAGCCTCCTGTTCACATCACCGAGCGCAATTTCGCTAGGCCACGACTTCTCTGCTCCGGCTCTCAACTGTTCGGATTCGAACACAAAGAGAATTACCTTTGATTTCTTGGTTCCAAGGCCTAGTGTGAGAGTGTGCCATGCGTGTTGAGCGAGGATGGTGAAGTTGGTGGGGATGAAAACAGAAGTTGAGGGGAAGGGGTTGGGCTTTGGGGGTTGCAGAGAGAGAAGGCGTTGGAGCTCGAGCGGCGACGCACGCCTGATTGTGAATTTCTTGATCATCAGCTGGCCACCGAAGCGCAGGCCTTTCACTGTGGAGCTCGACTGGAAGGAGGGATCTGATTTGTTGGGGTTCTTGGGTTTTTTCCCTTGCTTGTGCTGTTTCTGTGGATCCATAGGCTTGCAGACGTGGGTTTCTCTCTCTAGAGGGAGGTCCCCGTTTCTCTTTCTTGTTGGGTTATTCTCTCTCTAAAAATTACTGCAAATAAGCTCCCTCTCTCTTGTTGGTGACTGCAAATCAGCTCTTTCTCTCTCTTGTTGGTACCTGCTAATCCTCTCTCTCTTGTTTTCTCTCTCTATATCACTCTCGTCGATTGCCTGCAACTTAGCTTCTCTCTCTTCCTGGAAGACTGAAAATTAGCTCTCTCCCTCTCTCTGTGGGAGACTGTCTTGAATGCTGTGAGCCCCAAATCCTCTCTCTCTCTCTTCCCCTGTGAATATTTTTTCTCTCCACTCTCTTCTGTAAAGGTATCAATCACCAATTCATTTCCATGGCTTCTTCCTCTTCTGTATTATCTTCTTCCTTCACTCACTGACTGTCTTTCATGGTTCTTCTCACTCTCTCTCTAAGATATGCTTAGCTCTCTCTCTCTCTCTCTTTCTCTCTCTAGAGTCTGGTGGCGAGTGCCTGGTGCGATACAGTTTCAATTTCTCTCTAGACTAGAGTGAGTCTGATCGCAAGCGCCTGTTGCGATACGCGTTCAATGTCTAATCAGAAGACCCGATTCGGCACCGAGAAAAGTGAGGGAGGATTACGGAAATGCCCCTTACTTTTTTATTTCGTTTTTTATTCTGATTTGTTGATACAATTACGAAAATATCCTTAGATCTTATATAGACGGAGTGATTGTTTATTGGTAAAGATAAGCTTGGGGGGTGAGGTGAGAGACCCAAACTCCAGTTCACGTGGGTCCGCGTCCCGTGACCTCGGTTCGAGAGGTGTGCTCGGCTTCCAGTAACTGTCTGCTCAAAGTAACCACTGATATTTGCGGAAAATAACAAAGATACCCTCGGGTCGGGTTTAATTTGTTTTTCCATATGTTCCATGAGAATATGGAACATGGGCGTACACGATCCTTGAAAATATGGTACAAGGGCGTACACGATTCGTTATGGCGAGAAAGGTGGAGATTATTTGTGCTGGAGCTTTTGCTGCGAGGAGTACATTTTTGCATTGCCGTCTGTGCATCATTCTAAAAAATGGACCCAAATAGGTTGTTTTTTAAAAAATAATTAAAATTAATGGTCAAAATATTTTATTACTAGAATTATTTTTTAAAAAATTTTCAAAATTTATTTATTTTTTTATATGCACCATCTCCATGTTAAAAATTATGTCTTTAAAATTTATGTCAAAAAATCTATCTCAAAAATAGATTTTTAAAAGGTCGCTCATTTCTACGTGGGTTCATAGAAACCATGTCCTTCACTTTAACATCCCTAGATTTTATGTGTCACGTCAAACCCTATGTTTGGCAAATTGGATCTCAACCAACTCATTCATGCCAGACTGATCGGGACTAGCAATCCAACACATTTGAAGTAAGGTCATGTTTGGTTTGTGTGAAAATATTTATCGAGAAATATTTTTACATGAAAAAACTCTTTCATGTAGTTAGGTATGGAAATATTTTCATATTAATTAACTACCAATTGGTGTAGAAAGATAAAGTGTGAAAATATTCCCACATCTAATCACACGAGAGAATTCTTTCACATGAAAATATTTTTCGAAAAACATTTCCATGTGAAACAAATAAAAAAATTGAGAATGTACATGCTTGAATTCCATTTGAAATCTACCTAGAAAATTAGCAAAAAAAAATGCACTAAAAAAAGTCGATTTCTAAGGATTCAAGCTTATTTTCGGTTTGAAGAGGAATAAAACTCTTCAACCTCTAAACCCAATCCGAATCACTGATTCCTAATTAGATCAGCTATTTGTTAAACCCCGGAAAACCCGATCTAGTTCGCCCCATTCACGGTGGCCAAAAAAAAAAAGTTCTTAGAAGAAACAAAAATACAGAAAATGTGAATATTAAGAACTTGGGCAGTTCATCAAGAGTGCATAGACCATGCTCCAGCGGGAGTAGACTACACATCTACTAACTTACTTGGGTGAATTTTTTAATCTAAAATTTTAGGACCTATGAGTATAGTCAGATTATTATTTTTTTATTGAAAAAGTTTGAATTTTGACTTATTAAACACCTAGATATTTACCCTCTAAAGTTTGAATGGTTCTTATGTTCTTACTCAGTATTGGGATGTTAAGTGTTTGAGGCACATAGAGGGTTTCCCTCTTTTCTTTTCTATTCTTTTCTTTTTTTCTTTGAAGTTGGTTAATAGGTTCTGAAAGTTATATCCTTAAGTTTTAAGTCCAAAAAGTATCCCTAGCATGAGCTTTAACCCAAAGGAGCAACTTCACATTATGCTCCCGCAGGAGCAATAAATTATTTAGCATTCATCAATACCTTAAAGCTGGGTGTCCGTGGGTCCAAGCGTAATTATAAGGAAAAAGTTTATATAAGGATGCTACCTTATAATGTAGAATTATGGATGCCCCACAAAAATCCATCAAAAAATATAGTTTTAATGTTGAAAAATCTTTTGATTGATCATCTCGACATTGAGATGTATGACTATGAAAAATAAATAGATTTTAAGTTTCAGAAATAGTACATTTTACAATATATTATATACACCGTCCATTTTCGAGCTTTTCATATGTTTGTAGATCTACTTGATTTTAACCATTTTGAAATTTAAAATTTCATAATTAGATATAAAAATACATTTTGAGATAATCTTAAAAACATTTTACATCAAAATTATACACCATGATAAAATTTGAAGGTGCACCTTACCTCTACACCTATGGATGCCCTATATATTCAAGGAAAGTATACATGTGCTGAAAAATGTCTTGAAGCCCTTAATTTGGTGAATAATTGAGAATTTAAGACAATAATATTATTTTTGGGACCCTGCAAGGAATGACTTAATAATTGTAATAGCTTCCAAATCAAGGAAATAATGGGGAACTTATTTAATTGAGAATAATTCTTGAAGTATTTATTATTAGGCAAAATCATGATGGAATATCCTGTCATGATAAAAAACCTTTTCTGGTCAATATTTGACAACTTTATGGCCAATAAAATTGTAGGAAGGCATCGAAGGAAAAAAGAAGAAATATATAGAAAAGGAAACGGTGGAGTGAATCAATATTTTATATCTGTCACATCATTGGATCGATGAATCGGATCAATGGCAATCTAAATAATAATAAAACTAAAAAAATAAAATAAAATTTAAACTACGGTTTCTGATGTGAAGATTTATGGGGAAACTAAAACGACACTCGATATGCTTGAAAATAAGAAAGAAATAAGGGGTTTTGGAGAAAATCAAGCCGAAATCGATAACTTCTAAAAACCGGTTTTGTCCTAACCGATTATGGGTCTCGGCAAGGATCCAGATAGGCAGGAATCGCGTGGTTTGGTTTTAAAACATTGAATTAAACACATTAATGCAATGATACTCATATGTTTTAAATTTTAAACTCATTTGTGAAAAAATCATTTTTACTTTCACTTACCAAAAAGTTGCATCCGTACATATTCATCCAATATCTCACAAATAAATTCGTCCTTTAAATCTTAGGCTCATAAATAATATTTGAAATTCAGTATATCCAGTAACAATCCTAACATCAAAAAACAAAAGAAGGAAAATTTTCAAAAATATACATTTTTTTTAGTTATTAGAAATAAACTCTAAATTTTCTAAAGGGTGTGGTTTGTATAGAGCAAAGGCTCTAAACAATCAAAATAAAGCGCAGCTTTAAATAGTGTCGAGAAATATGGTTTTAATACCGAATATCTTTGTGATAGCCTTAAAATATATTTTTATTTTTAATTATAAAATTTAAAGTTTTAAAAATAGTATAGATCAAGTAGATCTATGAAAATTTGAAAATCCTGAAAATTGACAATCAAAAAATACGTTACAAGATGCACCATTTCCAAAACTTCAAATTCATTTTTTTTCTCATGTCCATGAATCATGATGTCGAGATGATCAATTTGAGGATATTTGGGCATCAAAACAACACCTTCTAGTGAAATTTTTGATGTGGGCTCTAATTCGATTCTTTAGAGACTCGGTTCCATATAAAACGTTTTCATTTTCTAAAACTTCATCCATACCCCTTTTCTCTACTGTTTGCATTTTTTTTTAACGAAAATACCATTCACGATAATCGTAGATCTGTGAAGGCATCGAACAGTGATGAAATTTCAAATACCATGGTGGTTATTGGGTTACTGGAGATTATAGAGCATCACAGCCTTTTAAAACACCATGATGGTTATGAGCATATTAGAACATTAAAATCATCATGATCTATAGAGGGTCGTGATGCTTTCTTTATACATTATGGCCTTTGAAACACCGTGATGCCTCCTTTATCACGTATTTTAAATACTGTGATTGTTATGAATGTATTGGAACTTTAAAATCATTACGATCTGTAAAGTGTCATGATACTTTCATTGTACATCACTGCCTTTGAAAGACCATGATGCCGTCCTTGACCATCACATCATTTAAAACATCATGATGATTGTTTGGGTACTGGAATTTTAAAAGCATCACGATCTTTTCGCCTCAACCATCACAGTTTTGGGTCAACCGTGATGCCTTCACGGATCTAATCCTACCGTGAAAGGTATTTTCATCAAAAAAATGAAAATATTAGAGAAAAAGAGTATGGATGAGGTTTTAGAAAATTTGAGGTTTATTTCAAATAATCTAAAAACAATTATATTTTCTAGAATTTCTCAAAAAAAATTAGCCTCTCTTGTATTTTTAAAAGTGTAAAACCAAGATTTGTAACTACAACTCATGATGAAACATAACATGACAAGGATATTGGAAAAACTGGGTGATCTAACCGCTAACTGCCCGATTAGATCGGAACCGGCCAGTGGCCGATTTCAATTTTGGACGGTTTTGGTGATCAACTAGTATTTAAAAAAATACAAAAAAATAAATATAAATTCCTAAAATTAAGGAATTTGATTTGTAATATATTTTTTAATATTTTTTACTTTATGGTAAAGATTAAAAATTATTTTGGTCATTAATATTCACTTTTGTATTTTCACATTTTTTTTAGAAAATTTTAAAAATACGCCTAGACACAAATTGATTCCTTAAAATCCACTTTTTTTTAAATTTTCAACTTCATTTGAATGTGTTTTATTTTAATCATTATTTATATGCTTTTCATATTTTAGTAGTTTTTTTTTTATATCTTTTTTATTCTTTTAACAATTTTTTGACTACCTGGGACTTGACCAATTAGAATGGTTGAATCGGTCGGTTTATCGATTAGGCAAGTTAAACCGCTTACCGATTAGGCTGGTTAACCGTTCCGGTTCGATTTTGTGAACACTGATTTCCAAAAGTATAAAACCAAGATTTGTAACTACAACACCATGATGAAACATACATAACATGACAAGGATATTGACACAATTTTTCAGGAAGTAAAAGGTTATTTTTGCACCATTTCTTCATAAAGAAGGAAAAAATTCCAAGCATGGGGCCAAGTTCAGTTGGATAGAAGAGAAACCAGAAAGAAAGGTCACTAGTGTTGAGATGTCTATGTCGAAAGGGCCCCAACTTATGCTTTGTGCTTTTGCTGATGACCCTTACTTTTTGAAGGCCTGGACCTTCTTTTATCATGTGCACATATGCCTTTTGGCTCTCTAGAAGATATTAAGGGGACAAAAGAAATTAAATTATGAAAACACTCGTCCAACATGGAGATGCTGCCACTTGCTAGACATGAACGGCCCATATTCATCTTTAGAAGGATCTGGATCTTATGATGGAAAGCTTGACGATATTAGAGAAAAATATTAGTCTAAATCATTCTTAGCTAATTGGTTACTTGGTAGCACAAAAAACATTAGTGCGTCATGGTCTCGTTTAGTGAAAATCAATCTGGCTATAGACTGAATTTAAAAATTTTAAAAAAAAAACAAAGAATAGCTCAAAAATAAGAAATCTATTACAAAGAAATTGTTTGGTTTTATTTTGTAAGGTCCAATAGGTCAAAACTGCCGGATTATATATTATGTTTGACCAATTTATGATCAAATCCAAATTTTACTTTAGATCAAACCGATCGAGGCATTAATGAGCCAATTTGTCTTATACTTTCTAAAATTTTAAAGATGAGCTATCGCAATAATGAGTAGTGAGACATCATTTAGTCCCAACTCACTAGCTTGGGTTCAGAAAATACTCTTAAATTATTTCAGTTGGGATTTGGGTATAAGTTGGGAGGCGTATCTTATTTGACATCCATTCTGGATGCCACTAGCAAACGAAGCTGGAAAGAAGAATTAACAAAAGAGGATGATTACAGCATCTCTCTAGCTAGGCCTGGAAGCATGTTACAACAGCATGCAAACTCAAAAGCAAGAATTACAAATATTGGATATAAAGCAGTTTTTCATATCAGTCACACCTAAAATATAAGCCAAAAACTGATTCTCTCTCTCTCTCCAAATGGTAGGCACAAGGCTTGGCAACCTACGCCTTGGGGGACCATAAAACACCATATCCCTTAACTACTAAAAGTGTTAATAAAAAAAAATTAAGTTCAATGTAGATACTATATATTTTATATATTATGATTTCACTGAAGGTATGACCTTTAATAAAGCTGAATAAAAAAATAGTATTCATATAACCCATCTCAAATGGATAAAAACTGACGAACAAGATTCGTATAACTGATCCTAAATAACTAGGACAAGACTCAAATGATGGTGGTAAAGAATATTTCTACCCAAACAACAAAAACATTGGTGTAGCTGGCAATCTCCCTCATATTTACCAACGTAGGAGCCTCATTCCACAGTAATCGTATAATTGCATTGATGGTTTTTGCGATTTAAGATATTACCAATGTGCCGTTTGGACAGCCCAGCAACTTGGAAGTAATTGGAAAAACACCTCTTTTCCATAGAGCTGTGAGTGTTTTCATGATAACTTTATTGAGAAAAAGTATCCCATCCACATCGTGGATAGGTGAAGGCGCACCCTTCCAATAGTTCAAAATTCACGTGGCCGTATCTAACCGCTCAAAATTAATCTCATGTTTTATTTTTTTAAAATAAAAATATTTATCTAAATTTTGGGATGTAGGTTTACTTTATTAAATATAACTAAACAAAGATGATTGAAAAATTAAATAGAAATAACCAAAGCACCCCTGAATTTATTTTGATCAATATTTTTTTATTCAAAATAGCTTTTATCATTTTTATTCAAATCTACTCATAAAATGAAGCTAAAGCTCAAATTTGACATTAATATCATTTTAAAATAAAAATTTTAAAAGTAAAAATAAAATTCATTTTTAGCCCTTGGATGATGTTGGTTGAATCGGAACCATTAAAAGACGTTTGTGCGTTTCTTAAGCTTCCACAGAACGTGGACGTACACCAACCCAAAAAACTTTTTGTAGCTCTCAAGGATGCATGCATCCCCCTGGATTCTATTTGATTTATGACTCAAAACGCATTACAATCCTCTACGAATATACCTGTGTTGCAAATCCATGAATTTAGAAATCTAAAAATAATGCAAATTTGTTGATCTATGAATTGAAATAAAAAGTTGAAAAAAAAATGATCTTAAAAAGCTGGAAATTCTTCTCTTTTCATATTCATAATTGTAGATAACAAGATCCAAAGCCCATCCGCAAGATCTTCATCATTATCATTATAGCTCTTTTTCCAATTAATTTAAATCCACTATATAAATCCTGATCTGTCATTCTACCCTATTAAATGACATAACCTAAGTGAAACCATAAATCCCATATCTTTTTAAACTACTTCTACCCTTTTGAAACTACCATTACCCTTTTAAGTCATTCCACTTGAATTTACTTGCATATAACCAACTCTAAAATCCATCCCTGAGATAAATTCTAAAAATGTAGGTGGAAAAACCCAAACCTCAACCTTCTCAACAAGCAAGCAATAAAAAGAATAGATACTCTTTAAATAGTGGAGTCCAAAGGATTCGGATAACAAGGAAGTGAATGGACTTATTTGTCAAGGAAAAGTGTTTGGTGAGTCTGCTTCACATTATTATTGTGTAGTCTAAAATTCATGTAGCCAACTCCAAATTCCATCCCCAATATATATATTCTAGATATGTAGGTGGTAAAACCCAAACCTCAACCTTATCAACAAGAAAGCGACAAAAAGAACAGATACTCTTTAAATAGTAGACTCCAAAGTATTCCCCTGGAAGTGTACGGACTTATTTGTCAAGAAAAAGTGTTCGGCGAGTCTTCATGTGCAGCCTCCCTACAAAATATATCTCAATGATGTATTTTCAATCCACAATTTTAGAGTTCAATAATTTTAACCATGACAATGACCTAAATATAGAAATTTTCTTTTTTAAAAAATATAAATGTCATTTTTTCAATTCCTTTCTTCACCGTCCATTCTATTTTAACTTTCAGAAGATATAAATTTTTTAACATCCATACTAAAGATGGATGTTAGAATAGGCGAGTCGGCTGACTCACCAAAACCGTGTCCAAGTGTTAAGATAAGGTTTGTCTGGGCTGCACAGAAATTTAAGAATGGCGCCATTTTTATTAAGGGTCATTTACTTGGTCCGTCGGCACACTAGGGAACCTATTTACTGTAACCCCACCACATATATTCCCATGAGACTCCACTAAAATGCCCTTGACACCAACCACAAATGCACCACCTTTTCTTCCGTTCCCAAAGAAAAATGACTTCTTTTAAATGACCCACCATGGCTGCTCAAGACTACAGTTTGCATATACACAACACATCATTTGATTGGTAAGAGTTCCTGTTAAGTAGTCGGGAAAATGTCTTCAGAGAGAGAGAGAGAGGCCTTTAGGATGGAGAAGATTCAGCTCCATCATGAAGAGCGCAGCACACTGTTGCTTTGTGATGACCCTGATAAGTTTGCATAGCTTCCCCATTGGACATGTCCCACAATTTTGCAGTTGTATCAGAAGAAGCTGCAACCCAACATAAGGGAAAAGATGAATAAATAAATAAATGGAAGGAAGACAACAACAAATATTTATCTCCAAAAAAAGGAAAAAAAAAACACCACAAGAAGAATGGCGGTCATAATGCTGCCCAAATTCATATTATGTGTGAATTCGGATTAAAAAGATAATATCAATTCCACCATAAAAGAATTCTCGGTCTGTGACCTTAACAAAGGTTTTGTACTATTGATAACTTTTAAAATATCCATTGTTCCGGTAATGGCCACTAGCTATTTTACTAGATATGACCAATAAATGGTGACATTAAATAATGGAAGTTATGACTGATATACAGGCCACTATAACAGAATGGACAAGGGACATCAAGTCACTGTTGTTAAGAACTCGATTATCAACATTGAAGGATGAGATTCCAAAGTATAGTATCTCAATTACCTGTAATCAAATAGGCGCCATCAACAGAAAAGACACAATCCCATACCCAACGCTGATGACCTGCCAACAATCAAGTTTAGCAGCAATAAAGGAAATAAAGAAAAGAAAGAGTGATTGTTAGTACTTATGAATCGAGTTATGCACCAGTTAATGTTTGCTCCAAAGTGAAACCATCAACATTCCAGATCTTCACAGTGTGGTCAGAAGATGTTGTGGCCAAATACCTGTAACAAGTCCAATTGCAACAAACTGGGCATAAGCAGTTAAATTCCCAAAGCGAGATTATGAAAAACCAAAAAAGGAAAGAAAAACATAATATTCTGAGTCTCAACATCACATACTAACAAATTTAAGAATGATTTCTCTTATTATACTCAATAGTAATGACAGAGAAAGGTGACACTAGAGCTAGTAGAACACCAATGGTCAATAGGACCCTGAAGCTTCACTAACTGAATGAAGTCCCGAGGTACAAAAACTAAGACCCCCCTCTCTCTCTCTCACTATCAAACTTCAGTATCTGAATAAAATCCCAAGGTACAAAAATCTCTCTGAAACATCAGTAACTGAATAAAGGCCAAAGGCACAAAAACTCTCTCTCTCTCTCTCTCT